AAAAGCCCCAGAAAATTTACTAGCAGAAAGGCTTACCTGCCCTGTATTGTGCTGATAAGAGAAAAAGTTTAAACTATCCATATTTGATTCCACAGCTGAAAAAAATAAGCTAGGAGTTTTGTTCCTTTCTTAATTTCTCTGGCCCGTGTGTTGCACGGTGTTACCCGTTTCCATGTCTCTCAGTGGAAATTGTAGGTAGGCATTAGCTTCACTTCAGTGTGGCTCTGACCTTCTTGTGCTTTCAGTCCTGCATCACTAACTGAAGTCCCCAAAGCAGTTTGCTGTTGCCATCATAGCTGGGCTGGCACTGTGGTCCGGGGCTGAGGCTCTGCCATACTCGGCTCCGAGCATAACCCCAGACTGGCAGCGGTGCTGTAAATCCTGGTTTGACTGAAGCAAGTGGAAACTTGCTCTTGACTTCAGCGAGGCCTGAGTTGAACATGGTACATGTAATCTGTTTTCAAATATTTGGCTTTAGGAGCGCGTTGTTCCTGTAACAGAGCTGTTTTGAACACAGCTCAGAAGGCATTTCTACTGACTGCAACTTTTAAGATGGACCTTTGGGGATTCGCTTTTCCAGCTTTGCCAAGTTTGCCGCATTCCTTGGACCACCAGGTCAGGCAGGAACACTCCCAGTTCTTCATACGTCCCCTTTGAAATAGTAACTTTCTAGAGCATAAGCTGGCTTTTACAGAAAAACCAAGTGTCATTAACAACATCAACTTTACTGGCAATTAGAATAACATATTCTTGACTGTTAGCCAGATTGTTTAGGTCATAGGGTAAAATATTCTTCTTGTGTAAAGCCCTGCAGGCCTTCCACTGTGCTACAGGGCGGAGGAAGAAAGAAAAGGCAAAAAAGAAAGAAAAGAAAACCAAAAAGCCCCCCAACCCCGTTTCCTGACATTTCAGGTAGTGAGGTGTACTTTCAAGGCTGATGTCTCAAATTGTATCCTCTTACTCATGCAAGAAAATTGTTAAGCCATCATTAGAGATGGCAGGTTCATTTAAAAATTACTAATAACATTTTTGTCAAATACAAGGGCTTTTTCCCCCCCCGCTTTAGAATTAATTAGCAATAATTTATCCTAAGATGCGGTGCCAGCAGCTCCCTTCTGCTGAAGTTTGGCCATACCCTTGTGTTGTACACAAATGTCCCGGTGCTGGCTGGGAGCTGTGCGCTCATGGTGCTGTGCCGCCTCGGCAGAGGGCATTCCCTGTACAAATTCCTCACAGGTCGGTTATTTTTGTTATTTTTTAGCAATTTAGATACAAGCTACTTACCATTGAATTAAGTTCATTCATGTCTAAGGCCATCTTAAAAATTAGCTGTGTCAGTTAATACACATATCTGTGCTTGATGCTGCGAGGTAGCTACTGATCTTTGGAGACTTCAGAAGGATCCATTGGCTCTGGCTGCCAAGGAGCCCCTTTGTGTGGTGGTGCATGGATGTGTCACCTTAGAGCCAGACCCTGCTCCAAAATAACACCTGTTCCTGGTGCCAGCAGTGCCTTGGCCTCCCATGGTGACCCCAAACCCTTCAGCAGTGTGCTCGTGCCTGCATGCACCCATCCTGCCCAGCTGCGCTGGGGCAGGATGCTCCTGCAGTTCTTGCCAGCGGGAAAATTGCAAGTTAAATTGGTGAACTACTACAGCAGAACTCCTCAGAAATGAATTCCTGAGGAATGCTCGTGGCCTGCTGTCCTCGTCAGGGAAACTGAGCTCACGGCGGGAGCAGCTGGGCTGCATTTGAAGATTTTCCTTGCTGGATGGACCACCCATTCCCATCACTGCCCTGGCGCTCGCTGGCTGTTTCGCTCCCACGGGCGAGGAGCTAGCGTCTCCCTGGGGCCGCCCGCACCCTGCACACCCCGCTGGCAGCTTGTGGTCAAAATAGTGGAGACAAAGGTCAAAAAACCAAGAAACACCCCAGATTTTTCTTGGTGGTGTTTGGTTTCTACAAGGCAAGCACCAAGCATGCAGCTTGGCAGAGGAATCTGTAGACCGTGTTATTCAAAGGACAGTAACACTGAGGCGTGGCAGACATATAAAATTCCTTCAACTTGCTGAAAACAGAAAAAAAGAAATCTCATTTTAAAGCAATGTTGCATTTGCTAAATAATTTATGCAAGATTCACTGTTGTGTTATTTGACATACAACTCTGTCAAGCAACGACGCCTTTGAAAAGTTGCCTAGAGGATCAGATTTCCCATTCAACAGGGAATTAAAAAATGTTTCTGGAATTTTGCTTTGCAGCCGGGAATCTATTTTCTTATCTCACATTGTACAATTTATTTTTCCTAAAGCAGTGTGCTAAATTATTTGTTATTGTTGGACTCAGTCGAACAGTTTTATCCCTGCTGTAGTCACAAAGTGTTGGAGTAAAACCAAGGATGAATTTGTCACAGTGTACTCACCAGATCAGCTGGTCTTTAGGTTAACTGTCAAAAGACAATACTTCTGCTAAAAATATTAGTGAAGGTCCTTAAACCTCACCAAAGTTGCCTAAAAACTTTCTTCTTCAGGCTGTGGCAAAGTCAGTTCAGAAGTTCTTCCCTGAGGTCTTTGTCGGGAGACGGGTGGAAGCAGGTGGCAGTTCTTTGGGTTAGATTTATATACCTGGACTGTTTTTATAGGTTTCTGTCTTATAAAACCAGAGAGTTGACATTCTGATTTATTAACTCTCAAGTCTGCAGGACATACAGGCTTAAAAAAGATAGAATGAGCTAAAATGTTTGTGATTGCAGTCTAGGATGAGAGGCTGTAAAAAAGGTAGGCCAAGTAAATATGACAATATGGAAGTGATAATTTGCATACGTACATTAAATTGTGTGTGAAGCAAAGCTAGCATAGTTTCAAATTTAACTTATTTGGTGAATAGTATAAAGAGAACCAGAATCATGTGTTTTTTCATTGCAATATATTTTTATTTACAGAGGAGTCTATAAAGCATAAGGTTCAGCAAACAGCATTTTATTGAATAAACATAGTACAGATTATGACTTACAATATGGAGAGCTTAGTGAGTGATACTTTTTATAACCAAATCCTTAAATTTGTTACCGCTGTGTAAGTGGCATATCTGATTTGTTAAGACGAACATTATATCTAGCCCTTAATGGAAATTTTGTAGTAGAAAGGTATGTATAATTTAACAGTAAAACAATCTGAAAATGTGTAGATCAGTTAATTGCTAAGAGGGATGCTGTGATACGCCACAAGCAGGCATTGATTTTTAATATTTCCATTGCAATTCGAAGGGTATGTCGTGTTACGAGTGCTCCATGGAAAACTGCAGAGGGTTTTACACCGGTTGATTTATGTTATCACGCGTGTTGCAGAAGATAGTATAAAATGTGCTCTGGCTGGATAGTGGTAGCAGAGCCCTACTAATGTGTGTGTCTGAATTGCAGTGCTTGTGGTAACCAGTTTTCATCTTTAATAAATTTTATTTTTCAGCTTTGTTTCATGTTCTCAGCATTGGTTGTCCTTAATCTTTTTGGCGCTGATCTAATTTTAGAAACAATTCATCTCTCTGTTTGCTGGTGTTTCCTTAATGGCTTAAAACCCAAACGCATCACAAACCAACAAGGTGGCATCTCCCTCCTGCCTGGCTCGAGCAGCTCCTGGGCTTTCGGGGTCAGCTGGTGCGTAGTGTGGGAGGATCTCTTCTGCTGGAAGAGCCTGCGGTTCCATTTCACTTTGCTGGATGATTTTTCAAATGTCCCCGTCTTACCAACAGGGTGTATTCGGAGTGTGTGAGTGCTCGCAGAGGCAGGCGAAATGGTGCAGGCACAGCACCTGCGGCTGTATTGCCCGTGTTGGTGGGACATGCACGTGGAAGAGGCTCAGGCATCTCTGCTTCAGCTGGTCACCAAAGCCCAGTCAGCGTGGTCAGTGTGACTAATGGATGCTTTCCCTGCTGAGAGAGCAACACGGACTTAGAAGGGCTATTTTACCTCTACAGCCTCTCTAGAGAGCCCAAATGAGGGCCAGCTGCAGTGCTGCACCGAGCCATTGGCATGACTTGCTTCAGGCATGTCTGGGGGACCACTGTGGCCAAGGGGGTGTCCTGGATTCATGAGCATGTGGCTGCAAGCCCATTCCTCTTGACAGGCCACTGAGCGCATGCTGGGGGGACTGCCTGTGGCCGGCTGTCCCTGCATCCCACCCCCCTGCATCCTGCCCCCCTGCATCCTGCCCCCCTGCCGGCTGCAGGGAGAGCCAGCCGCCCTGTGCACGGAGCTGCCAGCTGCGCCGCCCCGGGGCACACAGTTCCCCTGCACCAGGGTGTTTCTGGAGCTGCCAGGGAGCTCAGTCTCCTTGTACACTAATGTGCATGAAAACTTGGGGTTTTTTGGCAAAGGTGTTTGTGCTAGCCTATGCTCTGGTCACAGATGAAGATAAAAAAGAGCTGAGAGACCTGAAGGTCAGGTGCAATACTGTTGGCTCCCAGCTAGCTCGGCACAACGCAAGGCTGGTCTGCCCAGCAAAGTACCTCTCGTTAGTTCAGTGGGACCTCTCACATCCTGGGGTATGCGTGTGCTTTGGGGGTCTTCAGCTAGAGCAGTTTTTTTCTTGTTGTTACTAATATTGGGGCTTGGAGGCGGCGGGGAGAGGAGAGCACTGAGAATTAAAATTCAGCGCATGCCTTTTCTTTGCGGGCTGTAATTAATCTTGCCAATTTTTAAAGCTTTGCGAATCTGGTTAAGTGATAAAACACTAACAACTTTATATGACAGAGAGTTGGAGGCTCCTGCTATACACCCACCAGAGAAGATTAGGAGAGAGTGTTTGCAGGATTCGCACTAAGCAGCAGCGAATACAGTTGAGAATTGTTGCACCGCATGATATAAAAACCACATTAATATAATGAAAGGTGTCGGGAATAATGTGAGAGCGGCTGTAATTAAATGTATCTTAATAAGTGCAACATCCTTCTTAAAGCTCTTATTTTTCAGACCTCTCAAACTTAGAGGATGTTCTTGCTGTTGGCAGGTGGCCTGGGAGGAGAGCTGGAGAGCGAAGCGAAGGACAGCCGGGCCCTGGAAGAGAGGAACAGTGTGACGAGCCAGGAAGAGAGAAATGAGGAAGATGAAGACATGGAGGATGAGTCAATTTACACCTGCGATAACTGTCAGCAGGACTTCGATTCACTGGCAGACCTGACTGAACACAGGGCACACAACTGTCCTGGAGGTAATGTTAAACTAGCTTTACAGTTCTGACAGGTGGTTAGCTGGGTAATTGGACATAGCAACAGCTTGAGGCCTCAAGTGAGATTAAAGAATTAATAATGTAATTTTACAGTTAATGTAATTTTATTGTGGTGCCTTGGGTAGCCTTTGTTCACTCCTTTAATAAAATTAAAATAAAAGCAACAGCTTTCCAATTGGAATCTGTCAGTAATTACGTTAGGCAAAAATGTTGTGGGTTTTTTTAATGCTAAAAGTTTCAGGCCGGGTATTTTTCCCTTTCTCTCCAAATGTAGGAAGATAAAAAAAGTTAAATGACCGAAGTGTGCAAAACTCCCAGGAAGAAAGGCCTCTGAACCCCGTAAAAGAACATGACGATTTCTGAGAGTAAAATTCATAGTGCGAGTTTTGTAATCCCACCCTAAAAATACACTGCTCTCCCTAGGTTATTATTGCATCTCCCTTTGAATTTTATGGAAGTGAGGACAGCATTAGCCTACGCTGATCTTGATTTTACTTTCTGTAAAGTAAGAACAAGCTCAGAGCATTGGTGTGAACAATTGCAACGCATCTTGCTTTTGCATGGCTGCATTTGCATGGCCGGCGGTAGCAGCAGGTATTCTGCAGAGCACGCTAAGCCGATTTACGGGGGTAGTAAAAAGCTTTGCAGATTTTGCCAAAGATTAAATAAAATCTTAGGAGGGGGAGCGCAGAATGTGTTCATATGTATTTGAATCAGAGATTCTCATCCTTCCCCTTCCTGGAATGGCATACTCTGCCATCACTTTTTCTTCCTCGCTTACCTAAAATATTTTTCAGCTGTTGCTATTATGGCAGATGTGTAAGTTGAGGCTGGCAGAGGGTGCAGCAGTGTCCCATCCTCTTTCCCCTGAGTGCATATTCCTCCCTGGCCGCTCATTTTGTTTGGTAATTAGTCCATGTTTTTTCCTCTTCTTTTTGGGTTTAAGTAAAATGATGCTTATCTATGAAAAAATACAAGAAAGAGAGTGCATCAAGGAAGGGGAGGGTCAGGCGGGAGCTTCGACTTGATCTGAGTCCCACCCTCAGAGCACCCTCCCCTGTCCCGCTCTGGTCTGCGGGGACGAGGTCCCCCCACTCTCATTCCCGTCTTCTTGCTGGGAGGAAGGACAGCGGGACATTGGGGCTTTTCCCTAGCCTGCCCCCAGGGCTCCTTGCTCTGTGCTCTTGTTTAAACCCTACATGGGCTGCAAACTTGAAAGTGCATAAAATTGAAAGGCTGCTTCTTGCAAGGTCATTTCTTGGGCAGCCGACAGCAATGGCTTTGGCCTGAGACTTCTGCAAATTGCATTCGTACTCTACTACAGGGTAGTAAGGAAGAAAATGCCATTGAATAGAGAAATCCTTGCTTTTCAAACTGGAAGGCGAGGTGCACAGCCCGTGTAGACCTTGGTCCTTTCCAGGGACAAGTCATTCCCATCCCCATCCCGCACGGGGAGCGGGACAGGCAGGATCCCCCCAGGGCGGGCAGGCACAGGCTATGTCTCCAGCAGCTGTCCCTGGGCGGCCGCTGCTCCGTCACTGCCCTCGTTCCTAAGTTGTGCTGGTACAGCCACTCATGGTGCCGGGGGTGACCCCCACCAAAAGAAAGGCTGGTTTTAGTCCAGGTGTGTGCCTGGGGCTGCTTCACTCTGTGGTCCCCCAGAACAGCTGTAATGGCACAACTGGGGGAGTGGTGCAGGGCAGAGGGGAGCGGGGACTCCAGAGGAGGAACATAAGGATATGGCTGGTCACCAACAGCACTATGAAAAGGAGCAGTTTTTTTTCCCGGAGCAAATGTTAAAATGTAGCAATCTAGAGATTCTATTCCTATTAATGGTGTCAGTGTTTTCACACCTTGGTTTTTATTTATCCTCAACATAGTATTTTGTTAGTTGAGACTAAGAAATTCAAATTATATTTTTTGGGACTTATCAAAATAATTTGTAAGTATTCCCATTGCTAATTTTTGATTGCAGGTAGCATAATTTCATCTTCTTTTACTGTCTTCACATGTGCTGATGATTTATGAAGATATTTTGTCATAAAAAGACACGATACAACCATCTGCATATACATGAAATAGGTGCTAATTATCTCCATGTGAGGATATCCTTGTTCCAGAGCAAGAGTGTCTGTTTTCTATTTAGTTTAATCTAGTATCCTGAAGTGATTTAAAGTAAATAGGAAGATTGCATTCATATATTCTGGAATGAGAATGTTTCCATGAAGACAATCTGGAATATTGCTTGATACTTACATATCTTACCTTAAGGACCCCCTTTCAGATCCACCGGTTCATTTGATAGCCATGAGAATTTTTGTTGAAAGAACGCAAAATGCGTGTCTTTGTCCAGTCCATCTGAAAATACTTGCACCACCTGGGTGAAAATATAAGACCGCATTAGGACGTGTGGTATTTTTAAAGATTTTGCCCCACAAAATAAGCTATTTGACCGTGTCCTTAGTTACCCTGCGCTCCTTTTGCCTATAATGCCTGCCTGACACATCTGAGGTTGTAATGCAGTGCCTGACCTCTTGGCAAGCTAAGTTTTCATGTCTTAATCTGAAGCAGGGTTTTCACTCGTGTCTACATGGCTCCCGATCAATACAGGTAATATTTGTAGTGATAATATCACCAGGCTGATAATACAACATAACTAATGACTTCCTTTGGGATACTGAAGTTAGGGAAGGTATTGTAGCTCAGGAGTGTTGCAGGATTACAAGAGATCACTCCAAAGAATGGGATAAACCATCTATTTCACTGGAATCCCTTAGAAATTCATTACTGCGCGCTAAAGTTATAATACAGTTTGAACACAGCTGCTTTGACATGTAAGGAGGTAACAAACAGCCATTTCCCCCCTTGCTTTTTCATGTATTTCAGACTTGATTCTTTGAGGACAAAACACCACTGAAATCTAGACATCTCTGGTAGCATAAGTGCGTGGCATTCCTTTTGATGTCAGTGTAGTAGAGACGTTCTCCTTCTGACAGAATTAGGTGCCTTTTATACCTTTTGCTCATGACTGATGTCTGTGATTGCAGGTTGTAGGTTTCCAGTGTCTACGGGGATCTGAAAAGGGTCTAAATGGGGGCAGCTTGTAGAGAAAGAACATCACATTTCCTTACTGGCTCACGTCTTCCCTCGTCTCCCAGCTTGCCCCCACAAATGAGCTCTCCTGCAGCAGCCGTGGAATTAGTGCCTTAAACAACTAGGAAGCATCTTGAAAAATACTCTGAGAATAAACACACACACCTAGTGTATACATTGGATGTGTTAAGCTTTTAAAATTAATTTAAAACTCACTGGTATGCCATGTCCCTGCAACTAGAGAAGACTAAGTAATTGTCATTGGCATCATGTGCAGTCTTTTTTATGCATTTTTTTGCATACTGCTGTTACAATGTAGGTGTTATAGCATGAGGCTATGTTATAGCTTTAGTGACAAGAGTAAAAATTGCTCATGGATTTACAAATGACTGTGTCCTCCAGCCAGCACCAGAGGCTGCGTTCATCAAGCAACTATTCTGTGATATATCATTGTCTGGTGGCTGATGCCGAGTTGTTTGTTGTCTGATGAAATGTGGCTAAAAAGCCACGAGATTTGCCATTTTGCTTGTGTGTTTTAATCCACCTGCGTTAGCCTGGGTTTAGCCCCAGTATTTTATTGTGTTATTTTTGCTTCCTCCACCCACATCACCCCTTTCCTCCTATGGGTCAGAATATCTTCATGTAAACTTTTTTCTTCAGTTTCTCAACTGAAGGTAGAGTGTTTTAAAGAAAACTAGCGCATCAATGAAGTGGACAGAAGTAGGTTTTGGTGGGGTCTCTGAGCATTTCATGAGGTCCTCTTCTGTTGTTGATAACTTTACAGGTTGTCTGTTTCAAACAGCAGCAGAGCTATATATGGATATTGCCAGCTTGGAAGCGGCTGATTTTTCTAAACTACTGTACGGTAGGAACTAGTTTATAATTAAAGTCTTGCAGTTGCTCCTTTTAAATGCCCTGTAACTTGTACACCAGGCTTACGTTTTAAATGAGGTATTATAACTGTTTCATGCTAGTGTATAATTTTGCATTTTCTTGTATTTCACCTGCTACAAGAATTATAATTGCCATGCAACCGTATATGCGGGATGCTTATCCAGAAAATCATACACGGCAGCTTGTCAACAAGTGACGTCTCATGAATGTTTTTGTCAGGTGGCACTTTGTACTTCCCACTGACAAAGAGAGACTTCTTACATGTATTTCCAAAATTAGCCCTCCCCCAAATTGTAATCTTTTGTTGCACCTGATTGGCAAGTCAGAGATTTTCTGTCTTTTTGCTGCTGCTGTTGTTGCTTCTTTAAATTAATGATTTACTGATCATCCTCCACTAAAGAAACTGAAATACAGTTGTGAAAAAGCAGTGTGGAAACTTAATTATACACCTAGTTTATACAGCTGTGGCTCTAATGACCTACTGGCCCTAATTACTGTGTTGTGGCTCAGTCTGAGTGCTCTTGTCCTTGCCAGAATTCTGCTCCTTTCTCTTAACCTGACTAGTGTTTCAAGCTAAAAAAAAATAACAAGTTTCCTTTTTTTGTTCTTTTCTACATTGTCGTGCTGAAATGCAGTTTTCCTTTTTTCCAGAGGTCGTAGCAGTGTTTTAAAATTGGCACCAGAAAAGCTCGGTAATATCACAAACTGTAAAAACATGGATTTTCCCTGGAGTCCTCAGTTCTCACTGTCTAGATCTGAAAATGGGCACCGGGGCAGCGTTTTTATTGTCAATCACTTGGAGGGCTCCAAGCGCAGGCTCCTGTCCTTAGCTTGTCCCAGGCGTCTCCTCTCCAGGTGCAGGGGCAGCAGGGCTCCCGAGGGCTCGGGCAGCCGCCTTGGCCACAGTGCCCAGTGCTTTGCCATTCTCCCTGTAGTCAGTATTTGTGCCCATCGGCGCAGAGAGCTCCGAAATCCCAGATTATTGCAGGGGTATG